GCTGCCGGCAGATTCCGGGTGCGGGCCCGAGCACCCGGATTCTACAAAACTGCAGCACTGCAGTCTAGAGAGCTCTTTGAGCTACGTCCTGTCTTCTACTCTTACTACCTGTAGCGAGAGCCTNTTGATTAGCTGTAGCAATATACCCTGTACACGTGCCTGTCCTTTCTGCCTATGAGCCCGAACCGTGACATATAAGGAGACTAGGTATAACGCGCGCATCTATATAGTAGAAATTAATAGTACTAGTAATAGTAATAGACCTAAAAAGTAAATTAGCTTATTATAATTTTTAATATACTATATTAAATAGCTGTAATAATATTACGAAGTTAGCGCGCTAGTGTAGAGTAAGCTACTCGCTTAGGTAAGTCACTTGCTTATAAACCACGTTAGTTATATTATAAAATAAAAGCTTTTTTTTTCTCTTTAAGTAAGCTTTTCATATTATTTAGAAATAGTAATATCTAAAAATACTTTTTAAGTACAAAATTACTTTTATTTAACTTAAAATAAATTATATCTACTCTTAATATTTAATTATACACTTTATTATCTTACTTTACTTATAACTAGCTTTAGATATTATAAATCTTTAGTAATAATATAGAGTTAGACTTATAATTAACATTAATAAAATAGAAAATTTAGTAATTTATTTATAGTTTACTAATTTTAATAATAATAGTCTTTAAAAAGATTTTTAAGAGAGTAGCTCTTATTATATATAGGTTAATCTTAATATAAAACTAAATTCCTGATCTAAAAATAGCTAATATAGCTACTATATAATAAAAACTATATAAAAGAAGAGTTTATATTATACAATTTTAAATAATTAAAAATAAAAAATATTTAGTTACTTTCTAAAATATTAGTATACGTAGTTATAAAAAAAGGTAAAGAAATAGAAATATATTAAAAAGAGTAAACTATCTTAAAGATAGTATAAATAGTACTATAGAACTGAATATAATATATATATATACGTAGATAGTAAAAATAGCTTTAAAATAATATTTTATATATCTTTAAGCTTTACAGGTCTAAAGTAGGCTATTTTAGGCTATAATATAGTAGTTTTAGTAGGGTCTTAGTAAAAGTGATGAACGAACCTGTGAGGTACATTAAGAAAATATAATTTAACTTAACTAAAATAATAGTAATAATAAAATCTATCTATACTTATATCCTTTTTACTTATAGTTCAACTATCTCTTATATTCTATCTTAGCGGGATAATTGTAATAGCGCTGCTATCCTACTATGTACTAGTATCCTAGATAGCCTTTACTAGTAGGATAGTAGATTACATGATCTTAAGCCCTGCGATGATCACTCCGTCCCGTGGGATCCTGAGTGGTCTCCCAAGTATTCATCGTCATCCCCAGGGAGAGGATCCTTCCTGCTGTTGCTTGTAACACGTACTCTATGTAAACTTCTACACTATAAACTTAGCTCTAGTTACTCTATCCTTTATACCTTACTTCTTTAGTAGAGCGTACTCTTTAATCCACCTTATTAAGACGCATTATACCTAAGCAAGCTCTCTATAAGAGACTGCGCTCTAGAGAGTCATTATAACGTATATAAGAGGTTATATTTAATAGAGAGCTAAGCTTCTAAGCTACGTAGCTATCTATATATAAGCTTATTAAAACGCCAGCATTGAGTATTCAACATGCTCTGATTAGCTTTTGCAAGAAGGACGCTATGATCCCTAGAGCGAGTCTATGTAACACAATCCACTTTATTACTTTTTTCTAACCGCATATACACTTTACAACTGCGCACGAAAGTTCGGATCGTAGGGGGAGTGTAACCTTCTAATCCGATCAGCCCTAGGTAATATAGCGAAGTGGGGTTCAAAAGATAAGTTCGATATCTGATAGGCTTGAAGTGACTCATATTGAGTCTAAAAAGACGGGCCGTGCACAATGCTCGTGACGAGCGCACTATACCCGTCATTGAAGGCTGCGTACCCTGGACGGACAAGGGAGGCTTGAACAAGCGGACTCAGGCATGGGCGGCTTCTGCTGAGAGTAGTTCTTATTTAAAGTCGAAGCTTCTCCGCCATTCACTTACAGTCTGCTATTCTATTATCGACGCATGGTCAATTTCATTGGCTTGATCTCAACAGATTCTCATCAATTTCATAACCTAAGGAAGCACATCCTTTCGTCACTACGTGTCAAGCAACCTCGGTATGGAGTTCAGCACCTCAACGGCTGTGCCCAAGGCAGGAGCTACGGAGTTCCAGACATTCTCAATCCTGGCACGACTGCTACAGACTGCTGCAATAGCTACCATTTTTCTTTTAGTATGTATCTCGCTACCAAAGCTGAGGCATCGAGCACAGCTTTCACGCCTGCCAACCCTCGGCGGGTGTATAGGCGGAGAAAAGCATCGTAAAGGGTACATCGAGTCTGCGAGGCAACTCTATTCAGAAGGTTACAGAAAGGTTAATTCTGCTATGCGATCAAGCTTTGATGAAAGCTAACGTGAAACAGTTCAAAGATAGTCTCTACTTGACCATTGACTCTGATGGTATGGCTTACTCATTAATTCATATTTAGATGATTACTGATAAATGACAGGGGAAAAGAGCATAGTTGTACCCTTGTCATTACTTCCAGAGTTGAGGAAACTTCCCGACGATGTTCTTAGCGTCTCCAAGGCTATCGAGATCGTAAGGTTGATCAACCAACTTCTATGAACTGTACTAATCAAAGAAGAATATGGAGGTCAAATATACCCATCTGCAGGTTGAAGTCGACCTTGTACCGCACACTATCAAGGCTCATCTAACACCGGCGCTATGTAATAACATCAATACATCTTATTTTACGCATTTCTAACGCAACACTAGCTCGGTTGAATCCAGTAATATGCGAAGAAGTTAACGCAGCAGTGCGAGAATACCTACCAACTTGCAACGATTGGACCGAAGTAAACATCAACAGTAAACTTGTCGATATCGTGGCCAAGGTGTCAGGGTTCATCTTTGTCGGCCCAGAACTCTCTTCAGATCCAGAATATCTTGACTGTTGCAGTAACTACACCGTCCGTCTTGTTGACGCAGTAAACGCAATCAAGACAATTCGTCCATGGCTACGTCCGTTTCTCGTTCCTTGTCTTCCAGAGATTGCAAAGCTTCGTGAGATGGAGACGCGCGCAGCGAAGCACTTAGAGCCTATTGTCCGCGAAAGACTAGCTGCTGAAAAAAATGATCCCAACTGGCAGAAGCCAGACGACATGCTGCAGTGGCTGCTCAATCAAAGTGTTGGTAAAGGTACATTCACAGCTGAAAAGCTGGCAAAAATGCAGCTCACCTTGATCTTCGCAGCAATTCACACTACGACCATGACAGCTACCTCTGTCCTGTACACGCTGGCTGCCATGCCAGAATACACCCAGCCACTTCGCGAAGAGATACGCGACGCCATGCACGAAAACGACGGTGTCATCAACTCTAGGGCTCTGCAGTCGATGATCAAACTTGACAGCTACATGAAGGAAGTCACCCGGTTGCATACCCCCTTCACCAGTACGTGTCTACCCTTGCCTCTCACCTCATTCGTACTTTAGTTCAACAATTAACCCCCTTGTAGCCTCCTTCACCCGCCGAGCCCTCAAAGGCATCCACCTCTCCAATGGTCAATATATCCCCGCCGGCGTGCTCGTCGAAGTTCCGTCGGCTGCTGTCTACACAGATAGCGCCTACTTTCCCGGCGCCGCAGACTTTGATGGCTTCCGCCATTCCAAATTGCGACAAGGTGGCTCGGCAAGCGACCACGCACGCAACCAGTTTGTAACAACGAATGAGGCCAATACGTTCTTTGGCTATGGGCGCCATGCGTGTCCTGGCAGGTTCTTTGCAGCGAACGAGATCAAGATGATTTTAGCAAGGCTAGTGCTAGACTATGATATTAGGATGCCAGAGGAGAAGCGTGAAAGGTACAATTCGATTGAGATTGGGAAGTCAGTATTCCCAGACCCGGCAAAGGTGTTAATGTTTAAGCGAATTCAGGCGTGAGAATCAATAGGAAATAAAGTAGAGCAAAGGTTAGAAGATCATTAGACTTAAATCTTATCTATACCCTCTTGAATATGAAGAAGATCGTTCTATTCTAATTTTCCAACTTTAACTACAATTTTATACTTTATTATTAAGTTTTAGATTATAGTGTGTATATTAGAGCCATTAGCGACTCTGTACACGAGCATAATAGCAACTCCAATTAACGTACCTCACGGGTTCGTGCATCACACGGGTTCGTGCATCACTTTTACTAAGACTGTAACGGCGCAGGCAAGACTACTCGGATCAGTATCGGCGGTAGTGTCACTTAGAGGCATATAGGAGTGCGTGGGACATTAAACGAGCCTTAATTCGAATAGACACCTATAGGCCGTATATAAAAGAATATTAAAAATCTATCTAATAAGTTATTATAGAGGTTAGATTTATATAGTTATTTTTCCTACTAGGCTAAATTATACTCTAGTTTAGATTCTATTTAACGTACCTCACGGGTTCGCCGGCCACTTTTACCAAGACCCCACTAAACTACCTATTACCTACAAATGTTATAATAATAACAGCAGTTAGAGCCCTTTCGTAAATATTAAATATAGCTTACTCTTTAAGCGATTAAATAAGACGCGAATCTCTTAGAATAACGCGCTATAGCTATCTTTAACGTGCCTTATACGATACTAGGTAATTAACGCGCTAAATAGACTTTATAAGTAAATTATAGACCTTAAATAATAAATCTAACTAAGCTTAAGAAGAAGGTAGTTATTAAGTATATACTTAACCTTAATCTACGTAGATTTCCCTCTAGACTCGTAGATATAGCTAATATAGCTAATTCTTTATATACTAAGTATAATCTAGACTAGGTTAGCTAAAACTAGCCTAGTACGTTTATTAAGCGCTACTCTAAGCTT